CTGCATAACCCTTATAGCAGGCAAATCAAAGGTCATACCACTGAAGAAACCTCAATCAGTTCCGATTTTGGAACTCAGCGGCGCAGTCCTTTTGTCAAAACTTATGCGTAAAATTATTTTAACCCTTACGAGTTACAAGGTGCATGTTTATGGCTGGATTGACTCAACAGCTGCTCTAGGTTGGTTGAATGGTGAACCGGAGAAATGGAAACCCTTTGTCGCGAATCGTGTGAGAATAATTACTGAAATAATCCCGAAGGAAAACTGGAGATATGTTAAATCCAAAGACAACCCCGCAGATTGTGCCAGCCGTAGTATATCTGCTGAACAATTAGCCTCTCACTCGTTGTGGTGGCAAGGACCCAACTGGTTATCACAATATAAACCTGAAAAACCTCCCAAGATGCCAAATTATACGTGCAGCAAAGAACTTGGAAAAAAGGAGGAAGTAAACACAGTCATTGTTAATACACAACAGTCAATAATCAATCAATTATTATTAAAATATAGCAGCTTGAAGAAAGTAACTCGAGTATTGGCCTACATCAACAAGTTCATTGACATTATCATTCACAAGAAAAAACGCACAGATTTTCTTACCTTGCAAAATATTAAAACATCCAGAGAAATGTTGATTAAGCACGTTCAAAGTGAATATTTCAGTGAAGAAATATCGCGGCTTAAAAATAATGAACCACTGAATAAGAAAAGTCAGATACTTAATCTTAACCCTGTATTGGACACAAATCAAGTCCTCCGTGTTGGTGGTAGACTCCAGCATTCAAATCTCGATCCAGAGATGAAACATCCCATCATCATCCCGAATCAATCAAAGTTAGCGGATCTTATCATAGACGAATCCCATGAGCTTGTGTTTCACGGTGGAATAAAAATGACTGCTGGATTCATAAGACACAAATACTGGATTCTTGGAGGTAATAGGGCCACAAAGAAACGATTAAGAATGTGTGTCAAATGTAAAAGGAACAATCCCATATCACAACATCAAATAATGGGCGATCTCCCCCCAGCTCGAATTATTCCTAATCGACCTTTCTACCACACCGGAATAGATTATACTGGACATATTTATATGAAAGCTAACAAGGGACGTGGCATTAAAACTTGTAAAGGATATATCGCAGTTTTTGTTTGTATGGTAACTAAGGCCATACATCTAGAAATCGTCTCAGATCTCACAGCGTCAGCGTTTATTGCCGCTCTTAGACGAATGTCAGCGAGAAGAGGAGTACCTGGACACATCTATAGTGATCAGGGAAGTAACTTCATAGGTGCCAACAAAATTTTAAAGCAAGAACTTGCTGAAATATCCGGTATTTTGTCCGACCAAGACACGACCTCGGCAATAGCCGAAATGAATATTGAGTGGCACTTTAACGCCCCGTCGTGGCCATCTGCCGGCGGACTCTGGGAAGCCGCAGTGAAGAGCCTAAAATATCATCTCAAGCGTGTTGTAGGTGAACAAAAATTAACCTACGAAGAATATACTACGCTGCTATCCCAACTCGAGGCTTGCTTGAATTCTAGACCACTGTGCCCTTTAACAGATGATCCTGAGGATTTGAACTTTTTGACCCCGGCTCACTTTTTAGCAAGTGGCCCCATCTTAACCATTTTCGAAACAGAGAACGATCTCAGAACTCGATGGCACTTAACGCAAAAAATTTATCAAGACATATGGGCTAAGTGGAAGACTGACTACCTCACTCAGCTTTCTACGAGAGCCAAGTGGAGACATCGACAAAAGGATCTCGAACTTAACGACATCGTCATTATAAAAGACGACAACCTTCCTCCAGGAAAATGGAACCTTGGTCGTGTAGTAATGCTGCACCCTGGGAGTGACGGACACGTAAGGGTCGTTACACTCAAAACCAAAACCGGACTCTTAAAACGTCCAGTAGTAAAGCTATCGTTACTACCGACCAATAAAAATGATGAAGATACAAATGACTCGAAGATCAACAACAAACCAACAGTGGCAAAGAAAAAACATCCTATGTCATTCTCTGCCATGGTTCTATCTTTATCATTATTTTTGCTGTCACTAATAAATAACGCGCAAGCATCTTACAACTTTACCCAGCTGACAAACAATAGTGTTTACTTCGACAAAATAACTGACATGCATTTAATTAGAGATAATTGGCGTTTAATAGTCTATTACGACACAAATCCTTATCAAGAAGGCATAGCGGCATTACTAAAGTATATCAAATATCTTGAAACCGTATGCCCCACGATTAGAACAGAAACACCTTGCGACGGTATCATGTTACAGCTCGAGCACGAGTTCGAAGAAATCAAACATTATAATAATATTATTATGATAAATGACTCCTTCATGACTAATAGTAAACGTCGGCGACGTGGTTTAATAGACGGAGTAGGCTACGTCGCAAATAGCTTGTTCGGCGTATTGGATCAACGATTTGCCGAAAAATATGAGAAAGATATTGATCTCTTAAAGAACAATGAACACCATTTATACAATCTTTGGAAAAATCAAACATCGGTCGTAGAAGCTGAATTTAATCTAATGAAAAGGATGGAAGGTACTATAAACAAACACCACAAATTAATCAATCAAAAACTTAATTATCTCAAAGATTCTTTTAGTAACCTCGCCCAAGAAGTGCAGAACATAACAAGTATCACTGACTTTCTAACAACAGCTTTCACTGCTAACAACTTATTATACACCCTTAGACGGATTCAAGACTCCATTTTAGATACTGTAACGGACATTTACAGTGGAAAATTAGATTTTCATATTATATCTCCGAAGCAACTCAGATCAGAGTTAAGTACAATATCAGCTCAAATATCTGGAGACTTGGTAGTTCCTGTCGATAATTTCAACCTTAAAGATCTTTACAGCTTGCTCAAAGTAAAAGCAAAATACTCTGGGAAATATTTAATTATAGAAATAAAAATACCTCTGATTGAAAGGGATCTATACGAGGTATTCCATCTTATCCCGGTTCCGCGGATAACTAAAAATAACACGATGATGAAAGTCGAAACAATCTCGAAAATGGCTGCTATCAACATGAGAAAGGATTCGTATTTAACTATCACAGATACAGATCTGCAAGCATGCTTGCTACAAAATCCTGGGACCATTCTGTGTCATATCAGAAGGCCTATTCATCACATGAAAGATGATCACAGCCTATGCGAAACTATTCCAGGCACAAGAACTTGCAAAACTAAATCTACCCTGTGCAAGAATGACTGGATAGACTTATCATCTGAGAACAAATATTATTATTTATGCTGCGATGATTGCAACGTTAAACTTCTGTGTCAAAATCAGGTTCGTGCAATTAGGTTATCGCGGGCAGGTCTGTTGCGTGTTGGGGAAGGCTGTTTAGTAAAAACAGAAGATTTTATGGTGTATTCAAATACAAGATTGTCAAGTAAGATTAGTACAACGACAAAAATCATCTCGCCAGAAATAGCACCTATAAATCACCTTATAAATATAACTATGCCAGAATTTGTATATGAGGTTAATCCAAACAACTCAGACAACTTCAGACAATTTGAGGCTATAAAGAAAAGTATTGAGATAATGAAGCAGAGCGCCCCATTGAACACTAATATATCCTACCACGACGTCCATCAGTATACTGCCATATATCTCATTGTCTTGGGAATCCTGGTATTGGTGGCCGCTTACTGTTTTATACGTTGGCGGCGATGGCAACTTAAAGGACATCACTCCACTTATGCAGCTCAGCGGTCTGCAGCATCGGCATCGTCACCACCACCGTCTCGAAACCCCGTTACCGAAAGTGTAGTGATTGAGTGTAGTGAAATTAGGGAAAGTGGGCAATGTAGTAATACAACTGTGAAAAGTGATTCTAAGAACATAGCTCTGTCTAGTGAGTGCTTACGTGAAAAGAAAGACAGAGGTTCTTCCCCAATCTTTCGTGTGTTTTCTCTCCCTGATTTACATTGTAACAACTCTAATTTGTAATCTTTATCTCATCTTTTAACTTAACTTGACTAACTCTACATTTTAGTATTAATTGAACTATGTTATCATCTTGTTAATATTAAGTCATACTCCTTTAACTACTCTCATCTACTAACCTCATCTTTCCCCCCTCGGGAGTATGTTCGGGTCAATCACCGAACAAATAATTGTAATATGCTAAGTATACTAATCATGTCACCGTAATTGCGACACACCGCAATATGTCATGAATATATTATGTATTACTTAGGTAAAAACGCTCAGTACGTTCAGTACGATTGTGAATACGGACGCTACTCAATCTCATCTCATTCACCTCATTAGACTTAGTAGTTATCTCATTAGTATCGAAATATATCTTTCATTCTACATCCTAGAGTTTATCTTGAACTCACCCCAACCCCGAACAATTGGTTTGAACTACTCAAACTTTTTAGGGTATGTATTTGTGTAGGCGACAAGCTTTGATTTTTATTGCGTAATAGACTGACTGACCCAGAAATATGAATAAACCAACCTTCTTGACTATTTATAAAAAGGTTGTTTACTGAAAAAGAATCTAAGTGCTAAGCACGAATAATTATCGCATTCGTATCGTAAGAAGTCGCGGGCAGAAGATAGTTTTAAGATAAAACGTGTCAGTCTCTCAGTTAGTGCTGCTGTCATATTGTTACCTGCAATGCTTTCTGCTTCTTCAAGTATCGTTTCGAACTTCAGACTGACTGCATAAAGACTAAAAAAGTAAGATAAAAATAACAATAAATTGACTTTTTTATGAAATAGCAGGCAAACGAGCAGACGAATCACCTGATAGTAAGCGATCAGCGCAGCCCATGGACAACAACACCAGAGGCGTCATTGGTGCGTTGTTGACCTTTTAAAAAGGAGCTCATTTCTTCAAGGTTTGAAGGTCGTATCGGTTAGGACATACCGCCGACGATAGATCATTCCACGTGCTAATAATATGATGATTATTTATAATGCGTATACCAACCGGTAGAAAATCTGATGCGTTGACATATCGGAAGGTGGCCACTGGCTGAGCAGTCCATCCGCCAGGTACGCTGGAGTTTGCCACTAAACCTATCACTGTGAAGTTTCCTTCGGCATCACCCGCACTGTCCATATTTACCTGTGGAAGAAGAAAGACTGGATAAATACATTCAGAACATATTTGGTAAAGGGAGTGCTACAAAATAAAATATTACTATATCATTAACAGCTTATAATAAGTGGCCACTGCTGACCAAAGGCCTATTCTTACGCGGAGAAGGTTTAAGCATTTATCACCACGCTTGATTTATAATTAGAAATAATAAGCTTTGGTTTCCTCACGATGTTTTCCTTCACCGTTTGTCAGTGGTGTCTAAAAATAATCTTAGAAAGTACCTACATGTATTTCGGAAAAAGTCACATTGATACTGCTGTTGGTAGGTTTCGAACCCGCTTCTCAAGCATGAGAAGCGGGCGTCTTAAACCTTCTTGCCACCATGACTTCGACACGAGATATAAAATTTTAAAGAAATGAGAAAAATATAGATCATCTAATAAAGTCCTAAGAGATCTGGTCAGACCGATGCTCGACTGGAGCTGTGAATCACCATATTACCGTGGCTGCAGCTCAAAGAAAGAGTTGGAATGGGTGGTTTCTAATCAGTAAGTGTCTGACACTCCCTATCGCCTCCCTCAGGGCATAAAGAGTAATTTGATCCTTTTCCCTATCAAAAAGAAGGTTTGCTTCAGACAAATCACCACGCCTTTTTTCTTTTAAGTAATTGGGTACTTGCCCACTAGTCAAATTCAATACTTTTTTCGAACTGTCAAAAACGACAGTTTCCTATGAATTTTGTACGAGATTGTGTATTGTGACGTCATGTTTTTTTAGCGTCAAACAACATACTTATTTCTTAATATTTTGCTGGAAAAATACTAAAATTTAATTAATGAAAATGTAATTGTTTTTTAATATTTTATTATATTGAACAGTTGAAATAATTTATTTTTAATTAAGGAAAGTACCCTATTCTAAGGAACGAGAGAAGCACAGATATCGATGTCAAACTCCTTGCTGCTACTATCAAGAACTTTCAATTCGAGAAAACTCTTCTCTTTAAGTATTTAGGGAATGAAGTTAGAAATCAAAGTTCAATAGGTACAAACAGCTACTCATCAAGCTATGAAAAAACCAGTATAAATTGACCGTTGAATGTGGGCAAAGATAATATAAAGCGAGGCCATGATAAGCTGGTTAATTTAGCTTGATGTGTAGTCGTGAATACTAATAAACATGATTGATTTATTCTGCGAATTTATCGGCAGTAAAATGTAAGGAATTCTATAAATGAATAATATGTTCAATAGGGAAGCTCTTTAATATCTTCATTCCTTTGAGACACAGTTGGCTTAATGTTACTTTACCACAGTCATCATTCATCATAGTATTAATTCGGTCTTGGAAGGAGTACCTTTAACATTGAGGTGATACTTCCAAGAAAATTGTTCTATTATTATTTGTATTAAAATAAAATAATTTCATACTGCCTCGTTGGCCGAGTGGTCACAAGTGCGACTGCCAGGCAAGGGGTCTCGGTTTCGATTGAAGGGTCGGGCCAAGTACCTATTACTGTTTTTTTTAATCTCAGTAGTAGCACGGAGCCTGGAATTGTGCCCGGTATATGGCAATAGGTTCACCCCCTATTACATGTAACACCACCTATAGTGAAAAGTTGGTGTTACATTCAGTGCCAGCCGTAATATGCACCTCTACCGCTTCAGGGATAAAAGGCGTGATGTATATGTAGGAATTTCATATCATCTCAACTGTGATTCCTTGAAGACCAGTATTTCTTAATATACGTTTCATTATAATACAATAAAACATAACTTCTCCAAAATGTGCAATAATGTTTGAAACTTTTGTTCGGTAAGAAGAAACTTTTAAAAATAACAAAACGTTAGTAAAACGTGCGCATACAGCATATGTGCTGTATACGTTTTGTGTACGTGTACTTACGTATGTATGTATCATCACTAGTTTAATAAGTAGTGGCCCCCTCACTATAATGTATTATATAAGGTAGAACACTTGTCAAGAATGGCGCTGTTCACCCGTCATATCTACAGCTGTAGCCAAATGCCATTTAGCGCTTGTCTACAGAGAGAGTAGAAATCAAAATGTATGGGGATGACATTGATAAGTGTCAAAATTTACGTCAATTCCATATTATTATAATAAAGTTTTCTATTCTACATGTAGACAAGCGCTAAATGGCATTTGTGAACACGACGTGTGCTCTGGACATTATATTATTAAATACAAGTTAAACCAATCCGAGTAGAATTTAACAATCTACCAACATAGCATAAGGAGTTGCCTACTTTTACGGCCTCTCGTGAAATGAAATAGCCGAATTTGGCGCAATGCTGCACGGCTGGCGCAGTGTCTAGGTGACCTGCATCATGACACGGTGCTTGTTTATTTATTTATATATATTCAGTGAATTGCCGGACTTAATTCTTTGAATATTCGCAGTAATCTAGTAAACCTAGCTTATCCGATTTCTGTACGAATAATTAATTAAGAAATTTCATCAGGTGTCGTGTCTGTTTTGTGCCATTATTCATATGACATAGTCACAAAGAGTTAATAAACTTCTATCTCCATTTAAATAGGGGAAGTTCCTTAACGCCTGACGGCACCTAACGCCGTATACTTTTTTTTTTTATTTTTTTTTAATAAAGACGTTGCCCCACTAGCATTTTCTCCTGTGTCGTGGGTGCGTTTACAAACATACAAGTTCACATACACAATGACACTCAGACCCGGAACAACTATTTGTGGATCACACAAAGTGTTGTTCCGTGCGGGAATCGAACCCGCGACACGTTGCACGGCAACCGGTTGCCCAGCCACCGCACCAACCGTGCAGTCCCACTTGTATTATCTCGATAACTAATAACGCGAGCGATTCAATTTTTAGAGGGAAGTCTCCCAGTGGCAGTCACCTAAGATTTTTAGTCTAAATTGAATCGCTTGTGTTGTCAGTTATCGAGATAATACAACTGTACGGCGTTAGGTGCCGTCCGGCGTTACGGGACTTTCACTTTGCGTTGGCGAGGCAACTTGCTGTCGTGCAACGTGTCGCGGGTCCGATTCCCTCACGGAACGACTCTTCGTGTGATCCATAAATTGTCGCTCCGGGTCTGATTGTGATGTGTGTGTGAAATTGTATGTTTGTAAACGCACCCACGACACAGGAGAACAGATGAATGTGGGGCAATATTTAAAAAAATAAAAATAAAAACACGTTTCATTGATTTCCATTCCAATGACTTAATAGCTGTTTTTCTCTCGTAAACCAGTATGACAGCTGTAAAAATAAATGAAATTGCCTGAGCGACGGTGACGACGTGACGAGTGATAAACCAGATGGCATTAAAGGACAAATTGGATAGAAATATATCTGGATTTAATAAGTACTGTTTAGTATCTATGGCGACATATTTTAGAATGTTTATTAGGTCCATTACTACCATCGGCTTATTGTTGTAAGAGCTTGTTGCGAACGAAATATTAATTATCCTAAGTATTGTTGAGTGCAAATGATAAGGTAAGCATATTCCTTATTCGGAGTCGCGGAGAACCTAACGGGTAACCGGGGCCAACCAAGAAGGAACGGGGTGGTTTTTAGTCAGTAAGAGTCTGACACTCCCTCCCGCCTCACCCAGGCGGGAGCAGTCATTCGATGATTTTCCCCCCTTAACTCGTCGAGTACCGTCATTATAGACACAATTATAGAACAATAGGTTGCGGTCACCGGAGACCGCTTGGTGTTTGACAGTTTAAAAAAAAAGCATATTCCTTAACGGTTTTTTAAAGCGGTTCATGTTTTGAAGGTTTATGTATGGTTTTTTTTCTTTTGAGTCAACTATAATCTTGTTGATGCCTAAACTAGAGTGCTTTGTGCTTCTGGCTATATAGAATTAAGATATTATCATTCATAAATGTGACGGATAGGCCACACCTTTCGTAAAGTGGTCGTTATAATGATGATCTAATTTTTCTAGCTAAAATTTTGAGTCGCAGCCCAAAGTATATCATAACTAGCTACTTTCACGCGGTTTTGACTCACTATGTGATGTTTTATAGCCTTTATCAATAAGTAGGATCATTCCCTTCCAATACAAAAATAATTTTTCAAATCGGGATAGTACTTCCTAAGGTCAGCGCGTTCAAGCAAACAAACAAACTCTTTAGCAAAATTTATTTTATCTATTTAATTTCATATTTAAATTTATTTTCTTTTCCTTGAGGGGCGGTACCGCCGTCCGTGAGTCACTGCAGGGTGCCACCTGAAAATCAGCGTTGGGCAGGAATGCTCAACTATATGCTGAGGTGGAGGCCCTTTTGGCATGTGCACACGCAGTATTATATTATTTATATTATGGTGTTTTTTTTTGTGTATTTAATTTGTCTCTATATCAAAAACTTATTTCAATTGTTTCATTTGTATGTACATTATTTTCTTATTTTTGGATGATTTTTGTTATTTTCTTTATGATTATATGTTTGCTATTGATATTATGTATTTGTGTACCTAAGTATTTGTATTTTTTTATTTTTCATAATCTTTGTTTGTGTGCCATTTGCCAAATAAATGCTTTTTCTTTCTTTCTTTCTTTCTTTCTTTAGCTTTATACTATAGTATAACATGTATTATATTTTCTATCTCCTATTTTTTTATTGTCCCATTAATTATTCGATTAATGGGACATAAGAGCATAGCATTTTGTTTACAAAATGACGAAAATTCAATGAAAAAATTAACAGATTGTAGTATCTTGACGCGTTGGGCACGGTACCGATTAGTCATATCTCTAATCTAATTGTTATCGCACACGTGCCAATCAACTACACCTCAACATAACATAACATCACGCCTTTTATCCCCGAAGGGGTAGGCAGAGGTGTACATTATGCCATTGTACAATGTAACTAGCACTTTCCACTATTTACATATGTTAAGAGTCCCATATAATAGGGGTGAACCTATTGCCATATACCGTGCACAATTCCAGACTCTGTGCTACTACTGAGAATTTTTTAAAAACCCAGTAATACTTTGCCCGACC